AACCACAAAAACCAACAAAAGTTGACGCAAAATTGGATCATTAGTTCATCGCTTCGATCGTATCGTATCGTTTTCGATTCGTATACATATCCGAAGTATGAAGTATAGGTTTTATAAAACCTATTAGCACTATAGTGGTCAAAACAGTTCATACCCTTAGACGTTTAAAAAATTAAATCTTATGTCGGAAGACAGTAATAAATTTCGTGGCTGCCGAGTTCACTAGCGCCATTGCGCAGATAGACATTTCATGAAATGTCTATATGGGCAATGGCGCTAGTCTGCAGACTATAGTGACGAAATTTACGAAAACACTAGTTAACATAACTTTTACATGCGTCCGTAGCACGTAAAAATGCCGGGTTACCGAATAATAATTGTTCTAATGCGCAATCCTAACTGTCTAGTCTCTGGGGGAGTTGCTAGCTCCTCAGAGCTGCAAAGATTTTTACTGTGTGAAAAAAAGTAAATCTAGCTTCATAAAGTGATAATGAACGCACGTCTTTAAAATAATTTCTGATAAATTTACTTTACAGCGAACTACTTCCCCTTTCCTATTACATACAGCAAGGAATTTTCCGGGATTTTTACCTACAATGGCTAGGGAAAATCTTCATAGGTATTGCTTCCTAACGGCCCTAAGAAACCTGATAGAAGGCATGTTGCCTCTCACTTCTAAGTATATCTTCGAAATCTGGTATGCAAATATTTTAAAGCACTAGTTAGTTTCTGTCCTTATGTTATCGTCATCTGTCTAGGTATGCATCTAGACACATAGCTGGTGCCAACACATTTGCTTGTGATATATGCCTTTCTAGTTTAGGTATTTTGACGAATGTGTCACTTGGATGCCTTTGTGCGAAATCGAATCTTACTCAAACTAACTATTTGCTTTCCGCTCTTGTCTATTGCAGACAATGCGAAGTTAAACGAAAATTTAGAATTTGCCTCACAAATAACTTTTCTCCCTTAAGGTTTAGTCATGGCATCCTCTGCAATTGACATAGTTAAAATTGGAAGCATCATAAAAGACCGCTGGAATGTCTTAAAGAAAATAGGGAGTGGTTCTTTTGGAGAGGTATACGAGGCTCAGGATGCACTTACACAACAAAAGGTGGCCATTAAGGTGGAGTCCTCCCGACAAGCCAAACAACTTTTGAAAATGGAAGTTGCAGTTTTGAAGAGACTTCAGGGAAAGCCTCATGTTTGTCTATTTATGGGATGTGGTCGAAACGACAAATACAGCTACGTTATTATGAGTCTTCAAAGTCGCAACCTTGCGGAGCTCAGGCGTTCAAGTCCCCGTGGCTACTTTTCACTTTCAACCACCGTAAGAATTGGCCGACAAGTTCTGACAGCTATCGAGAACATTCATGCTATCGGTTTTTTGCACCGTGACATTGAACCTTCTAATTTTGTATTGGGGGGTGGAAGCGGACCTGGATCTATTAGTCCACGAACCATAGTAATGCTTGATTTCGGTTGCGCACGCCAGTACACTACAGGAGATGGCGACCTTAGGCCACCGAGACGGGTTGCTAGCTTTCGTGGAACTGTCCGTTACGCATCCGTCAATGCCCACCTGAACAAAGAATTAGGTCGACATGACGACTTGTGGTCACTGTATTACATGTTAGGAGAATGTGTTACTGGCCAGCTGCCTTGGCGTAAAGTAACGGACAAGGATCACGTTGGAATTATAAAGAAAACTTTTGATCATAATAATTTGCTGAGATATTTGCCTCGTGAATTTCGTCCCTTTTTGAAACATATCCAAAATCTAACATATTTTGACAAACCTGACTACGAATTTCTACAATCCTTACTCTCAACTTACATGGAACGGAAGTCCATCAGTGAAGATGATCCCTTCGATTGGGAGGTGTCTAATGATCAGTCCGGAGGGACTAACGAAACTGGCGAGCACCACACTAATTTGCATACACCTCCCGCTCCAGAAGCTAGCAAAGGAATGGGAACTGTTGCCGCCGAAGAAGCCCACATGCCAACACTACTAGACTCGGGAGGCATGGCACCCGCTGAAAGTGGTGCTGTGTAGCCTTTCAGATGCATGCGCTGTGGTTTTCGGCATATCTTTTGCCGTGCATCGCATATCAACGCTCAGTTTTACGATTTCTGACACGATAGCTGAATTATAGACCGAAATTCAGGAACGGAGACTCCAGCTGAACCTTTAAGTTTTATACAATACATTTACCCATTTTCTATTTATTTGTCTTCTGGACTCAGCAAATGGATGGTGTGTTGCTGGAAAGTTTGCAATGATATTTCAGAATGGGACGCACTTTGCTTTCTTTCTCTTGCATCTATCTAACCACGCTTCCGATGACAACATCAATAAAATCCGAGTTCAAACTCAGGATAACTTCGGTCTCAGAAAGTCACCGTTTGATTGAGTATGCAATAAAATACGCCACCTTTTATCACAAGTTAGCAAGCAAAGTCTGAGAAGCATTCCGCAAAATCTTGTGTCACAATCGAGGATTTTACCAACAAAGGCCACTGAAACTTGTCAAGCAGGTCCAAACACGAATGTTGACAGTTGCTAATGGGGTTTCTAAGTCTTCCTTTCAAGTTCGACCAACGTGCGAGACTGTATAGGAACTCTCGGAAGCACTGCAAGCATGACAGATCACGCTGAGAATAGCTTGCGATACCAGCTGTACGCGCGCTCTGTTTGTAATGGTCGATCTATGCGACGGCAGTAACTGTGCAGACATGGCCCGTGCTGCTCCCTTGACAGTTGGAAGCCAGTGGACTGCTGAAGCGAATGAGAGCGAAAACGATTCAAAACTATCTGACGACGAAGCTTATGCTCGCCCGGAAGTCCAGGCAACTGCAAAACTTGCGAATAGATTGCATAATACCAGCAATCTCTTCTGGATATCCGATGCTAACTCAGGGATAAGGTCGCAATACGAAGAAAACCATGCACAGACTGCCGAGAATTACAACAACAGCAACCGGTTATTCTCATGTGTACCTGAAGTGCCCAGTTTCAATACACAGCAGGCTCTTCTGCCTACCTAGTCAAAGTCTCCAACTCCAAGTCGCCCGGGCTTTCAATCACGCTGCTAATTCTCCGACATTTCGTTTTCCTTAACTGGAACTCTGGACAGGGATAAAAGTGGTTACCGTTCCATTTGAAGCTCCCATCCTCGTCAATGCCTTTCTGTTGGTCACTGTCTACAGTTACTGTCAGCGGACAATCGAGGCACCATGAGAATGCCAAACAACATTGCAGCCAACATTTAGTCGTCCTCAAGGGGACGCAACGCAGAATTTGAAGCACGAGAAGCTTTACTCTCCTGAAGGCTCCCCCTATAATCTAAAACAGTTCTAATTT